TACTTGGCCTTTTATCCTGTCAAACGATACTCTACAACAAACTTTTCTGCTTTTTTCACTGTCTTCCACCTGTTTCTGCTTGTCATCTCTAATGCTACTATTTCAAATGGTTCAAATGGTTGTGGACGGAATAGAAGCATTCGCTTAACAGGCTTCCGTGTCTAGTAACAGGGATCACCAATACATCCAGTCTGGAACCTAGGTATATCAACTATAATAGATTAGAAAAACAGACATTGTTAACTCATAATAGGATGCTATCCTTAGTCTTCAAGAATAGGTAAAGTTTCCTCTTGAAGGATTCCTTGGACGTCGCTTGGACTAGTTCAGTCACCAGTGAATTCCAAAATTTGACAACTCTTAAGGAGTAGAAGTTGTGTCTACAGTTCGTTTTGCTATGTTGTGTCTACAGTCCGTTCTGCTATGTTGTGTCTCCAGTTTTTGGGTGTTACCCCTTAGGTTAGTGTTTGAACTAAGCTTATGTAGGTGTTTGAGAGGATGTCCAGAAGGTCATCTCTAAGACATCTATACTCTAATGAGTAAAGGTTAAAAGAATTGAGGCGCTCTTCGTAAGGTTTAAATTTGAGTCCTCGAACTGATTTCGTGGCACTCCGTCGGATACGCTCCAGGGTATCCTTATCCTTTTGGAGTGAGGAGGAAATACTATGTTTCCGTACTCTAAATGGGGACGAATAAAACTATTGAAGATTGTATGGAACGTTATTCCGTCAAACTGGCAAAAAATGCGCTTCAATGTTACCAGTGCAAAGTTTGCTCGGAAGGCATTTTTGTCACAGTTAGCGTAAGACTTTAAATCATGGGGTGCCAGGACTCCTAAATATTTTTCGACTTGTGATAAGACTTGAGAGGAGTTTCCTAAGTTGTAACTGTAGTTTGCGACATGTCGCAGATGGACTAGTTTACACTTTGAAGTGTTAAACGCAAGTCCGTTATCGTCTGCCCAACTTTGAAGTCAAGTCAGATCCTCCTGGAGTGCCTTTGTATCGTCTTGGTTGCGTATCTCTCTCCAAAGTTTCACGTCGTCAGCAAAGAGTAACAAGTCTGACGTTACCTGTTGAGGAACATCGTTTATGTAGATCTAGAAGAGAAGAGGCCCTAGTACTGAGCCTTGAGGGACCCCACTAGGATATTCCTTAGCCTGAGATAAAGTGAAATTAACCCTAACCTTAAAGTGTCGATTTTTTAGGTATGAAGTAAGCCAATCGATTAGAGGTGGTTTGATATCTAGTCGTTCGAGCTTATTGGTAAGACACAAGTGATTAACTTTATCAAAAGCTTTTGAGAAATCAAGGTAAATGATATCAACCTTTCCCTTGCGAGCAAGGATGCTTGTCCATCTGTCCACCGCAGTCAGCAAGTTGGTTATACAAGAGTAACCATTCCTGAAACCATGCTGTTGGGGTGAGAAGAAATTTAAGGACAGTAGGTAGTCGTTTAAACCGTCGCATATCAGGAACTTTATGATTTTTGAAGGTATAGAGAGAAGTGCCACCGGTCGGTAACTTGAAGGTTCGCTGCGTCGACCTCCCTTGAAAATTGGTGCAATATGAGATAGCTGCCAAATTTCCGGTAGTTTGCCTAGGCTTGGCGAGTGTGAAAACATAACGCTAGGCGCTGCTGCCAGGATTGAGGCTGCTTCCCTCAGTATATCAGAATGAACCATATCTTGGTCAGGAAAAGTGTCGTTTTTCAGGTGCTGCAGTTTCCGGAACATCAAGTCAGCGCTCAGGTTCAATACGGAAAGTCCTGTGGAATTGCAGATGAAACTGTCATCGGTATACTTGATGTAGGTCGGTTTAAATGTCCGAGAGTATTGTTCAGTCAAAAGGTTAGCGGTGTCGCCATCGTTTTTGGTCGGGCCATTAAATCGTGGCTGTCGGCGAACTCCAGTTTTGGTTTGACGAAGAGAGGCCGCATATGGAGTAAGCTTTTCGGATCGACGACAAATTTATCCATGATCTTTATCTGGTAATGAAGCCTGTCTTCGTTTATAGCCTTCGTGCATATGTTCCTTATATGCTTGTATTGCCTGTACGCGCCGTTGTTTTCAGTTCGTTTATATTCTGCCCAACAGCGCCTGTTGCGGCTTAGCAGACGAAGAGTGCGGTTCTTGATGGTTGTTTGTTGCTTGTAGCTATTGAGGACCGTTTAAAGAACTGACTGCTCTGTGACACATATGAGCTTGTACAGTAAAAAGTCTCGATGAGCATCCACATCAAGTTGGGGATGAACTTTCCAGTCCATCTGTTGTAGATAATCCTGTAGGACTGACACATTCAACCGTTTGAAATTCCAGCGCCTGTTGTTGGCGAGATATCTTAGCTCAGTTTTGCTGACAAAAAATACTGAAGGCTATGACGGCATGATCGCGTTTCTCCAGGGGAGCCAGGATTGAGATGTTGTCAACTAGGAATTCGTTTGTAAATACCCAGTTTCAGCGCGAGGGTGTCTGACTGTTTCTCCAACGAGTTGCCGACCTCACATTTTCATATAAGCCCAAGTCATCGATGAGGTCAAAGAACCGAGCTTCAGTTGAGTTGTCGCTTCCAGTATACGTGTGTTCCGCGAAGTTGACTCTAGGGAGATTAAATTCCCCTAGATTCAGGATGTGTGTGAAACCGAGACGGGTAGAGCGGGACAGTCCTTCCAGCATACGACTGTCATACTCGATGTCCGTAGTATGCTTCCTATATATGACTCCGACTAGGCACCTCGAAGTAGTAGACAATCTTACAGAGCACCATATAGATTCCTCAAGATTGTTTAGCCCGAGGTTATGAACTTGATGCACCTCCAAGCAGCTACTCCACCCTCAATTCCTGATTTTCTGTCATTGCGGAACAAAGACATCCCAGGTAATGCTAACTCATGGTTCGAGAACTGAGAAGATATCTAAGTTTCAGATATTCCTATAAGATGGGCCTTATTAGCTCACGTAATTCATCCAATTTGTTTGGTATACTCGCGGCGTTCATATATTAGCAGTTTATGCTTTCAATTTGGAATGCGTGGGCTTCTTCCTGTTTGTTTGTATGAGCCTTACGTGAATGCACAGGTAGTCCACCTATGTGAGGTTTGCCGAGGTGGTATCCCTGTCCATTACTCGTTTTTTTATCATTTAGACAGTCCAAGAGAGGAATGGTCAGCTCCAACTTTCCTTAGTGACTGGTCCTAGCTTCATATGGCCTATCTGGGTGCATGTGGATTACAGGTGGCAGTCGACGTCTGTTGGCACGAAATGCTTCCAGAACTGCAGCCACCATGTGGGAAGGTGGAAAGGTTATCTTCATTAGACGGGGTCTAAGATCACCGTCCTTCTTGGCTAATCTCGTCACATGCTGAGTCAGTATGTGTTTGAGCCTCAAGGACTGTTTGATGAATTTCCATTCCCTGATATCAGAATTTGATTGAGTAGTGTCTGCATTTTCAGGCATACCTTGCACAATTATATTTCTTCCGCGGAAAAACTTCTTGTGGGATTCTTTAGGGATGTTTCGGATGAGATTGCGCTCAGAGTATGGTATGTTGGGCAATATTCTTACGTTGCTATCTGATTTCAGCAAGTGACTTGCTAACAAGACGTCCTCTACGTCGGTAGCATTCTTAAATGTTACTCGGAGAAGCCTTGGGTGATTTAGATGCTTAGATTCCTTTTTCGAACGAGCCGTGTGTCTATCAATGGCACTATTCTAGGAATTTCAAGCTTGTTGTTCAATTCACCCCAGAGCATCCTGTCGTTTTTGTCCTGCAGACTGAGAGGAAGGTCAGGATTATCAACGAGGTTCATGATAATGAGAGAATCGTCATGAACTGTTGTTAATTTACCAGGTTTCACGGTGGATTCATGTTTAATGACTTGCCGTTTGGAGGTCAGTGTGCATTTATGAGGCTTAGGCTCTTTGTTGACCGGACGAACAGTCTTGGGAGTAGACTGTGCGACCGAATCACCAGTTAATTTCCGTACAGCAACACTTGGGTTGTTTGGCCTAGGCGGTGATGCCTGGTTCATTTGGGCTCTCTTAACGTGGGTTGAATCACTTACAGGGTTTTTGGGAACCACTGTTGTGTTCAGGGACCCTGAGCTGGGAGACCCGAGTTTGCTTAGGGAGTCTGATAACTTCGACGTAATGATTGTGCTGAGCCTCGACACGTCATCATTAGCGTTGATGGATGCTCCATTGATGGTATACCTGTCGACATCCCTATTTTTGTATCCGTCGCACGTCCTTGTTTGTCTACCGGTTTTTTTTACTATCGTTGTCCAAGTTAACTGACAACTTGTTCCGAAGACCTGTCAGTAGGAAAATGATGTTACTCAACAAGACTACAGCGTCCGTGCTGCACGTGACACATACCCATTTTTGGTCTGACTTACTGAGTCTGTTGTAAGCAGTTGCTGTCAGATCTGTGCATGCTTCGTGGAACCAACCTTTGCAGTTGTCGCACTGCATGCCAGTAGTAACAGCAAAACGGCATCCCGTGAGTTTTTCATGACTATGTTGAAGCAAACTATGTTATAGATGCTTGCAAAAGTCTAAGACCTTTAAGAAACACTAAATAGCACACTGAAAACGGACAAAAGTGGATAAAACGAGTGATATAAACTGAAACTATTGTATACGTGAAAAAAAACTGAGGCTAAACCACAGGTAACTATTAAATATGGTGAAACTAAAAAACGTAATTTACCAAACGTATAGCTCAGGATAGATTCTTTAGAACTGAAATGGTACTTTTGTTGCGTAAGAACACAGCAAAAGTTTGATAAATGCAAATCACGTTAGTACTAAACTTCCCGTTCGAAAAGCCGGTGATTAATCTAAGCTGGCTAGTGGTTGTAGGGGATGTTCCAACTCGTGATCTGGTGTATATGCGTGACCGATCGACTTCAGCTAGGTGAGTCTATTAAAACTAATACGGTCAGCATCAAATGTCGAAGACTTACAGAATTTATTTTGCCTACCGAACAATTTGTGGATATCGATACGGTGAAGGTCAAGCTGGCCAAGGTTGTCGGAACACACAATATATGGAACAGTGAGTTAAAATATGGTTAGTATGTAGTAATGCTAACGATTCGTAGTTCTAGTTACTTATTTTATAGCCTTAGGTGTTTCTATCACTAATACTATACATATATATTTATATAAGATAATTATGTATAATTATCTTTTGGTTGTGTATGATTATGAATCTAGTTAGCGTAAGGTCTACTATTTCATTTTAATGTACGTCATGTTATTTTATTTTATTCGGTCTTCAAAGCATATGATGAGCTGATGTCTACAAAACAGTAAACTTACGACTAGCAGTCAAAAACGAGCTGGTTTTCGTTTTCTGTTGGTATATTTGTTACACCGTCACTATGGTGTAGATTTCCTAGGAGTTCGTTTGTCGGTTCCGGGTAGCGGTTTCAAATTTTTTCCGTTCTCAATGAGGTTTCTCAATCCCCCTTAATATAATAGTACTGGTGAAATGTAGTTCGTGAATATACTTATTTGGGTTACTATCCTGTGACATGGTTGCTTTTGTTTAAGTGTTTGGATCTGCTCTTTATCCTGTAGCTTATCAAGTTCTGCCTTATTTCTCAAATTTAGCCCTCATACGTCTTGAATTGTAAGCCTTCCAACGTGTCACTGGCCATATATATAGGTTAGTGGACATTTAAAACTCCGTGTACGTCACGAAATTTCACATATAAACGTACTAACAGTATGCCATCTCTCAGAAATCAAATTTTCTATTTTTGTTTAAACACTCAATCAAATATTAAGTTTTTTAAAAATTAGTTCCGAAGGATAAGATCATTACTGTTAATGTTTTGTCCTACAAATTTAGTGTAAAACATGACTCTTCTTCGTAAACAACTCATAAAATCTTAACAGAGGAACTCTCCGGTTACTTTTCAGTTGGATGTGTCATTTTAGTCTTCATTATTTTCGAACATTTTGTTTATTAATTATCAGCTAATTTATAGATCTTGGTACATTTCACCTACGTTTCACTCATCACTTCAACCATTCGTTAAGAAATATTTATTTCTCTACAAAATTTATAGATAAACTATCCATAATGTGTCTTTTTAGGGTCGCCAGATACCAAAGTTTATTACTACTCAGTGTTACACAAGGCTTTGAAATGCTAAATAAAAAGGACACAAAACCAGACTATCTCTACTACTATTTATGTACGCGAATATCACAACTGAATCCTTTACAAAAGTCAAGGTTTTATTATAGTATCGGAATGTCAGAATCTCTTGAATATATGAGCTTGGTCGGTATTGTTTTTTAGCTTTACGATTTCAAAACTAGACGACGAAAGTGTAATATTATAAAAACCAAACATCAAAATTTTCAACAAAACATGTCCATTATTCCTAATACGAACAATAGCGCTACCTATTTCTTCAATTGTTAGTTTAGTTTGGGTTTCTTTCTTTAAAAAGCTTTTAGATGCATGTTCAATGATATCAATGTCTTAAAATGGTTAAATTATCTTGGATACGGTAAAATAGATTTTGAGTTTTCTATTCTTATTATCACATTCAAAAGTTCGTTTTGTGTGGAGTAGGGTTATCAGTAGGGCGTTGAAATAAACACTATACCTCGGTTATTCCCAGTCGATACATAAGAAGAGCATATGGTTTCTTTAGAAGTCGTTTAATAGAAGAATATCTAGTACAACTTGTGGATTAAATAAAGTAGCGTTTTTGCACATATAACTTTCTGTTAAGGCTACATAGTTGTACGTGTAATTGAATAAACACGATAATTATCCTAAATTCACACTAAGTTTATTAGAGATAGTATTTTACGTTAACACTAATCACCTAGTATCGTATTTTACGTACGACAACATAGTTCACCTACGCCTGTTCGGGTTATCAATTCATATTTTATTTATTTACAGATGTCCAACACATTTGAAGTTGCTGAATTGGCTGAAGAATTCGATGAAGATAAAAGTTTTGAGGCTGTCGAGCCATGTCTTAAATTCAAATCTATAGAACATGGTTTATGTGACATAACTTCCATAGATTCCATCACTTGTGTGGCAGTGCATGGGAAAGTAAGCATGTTTTGGTAGATATTTTCTTGTAAAACTGATTTGTCATCAATATTTCTCATTGAATACATTAAATCATAATAAAGAAAACCCAAATAGAGTTTTGATGTCGGTCAGTAGGTAACCAGTCGAAGGAATTAACTCTGCATCACTGTATAGTAGGTTTCTATTTCCATTTCACCAGATCAGTAGTATCACTACCTTGCACAAAACGTGTAGCTTAAAGTCGACTAGATAGATCCGTATTTGGTACTTGATTGTATTGAAAATATTAATATTTGACTGCCTACATGTTTCCTTTTGGTTTGTGCAAATTCCTAGTATACGTTTACAAACAGTAGTTTCCTCTATGGTTATTTTAGTGCTTAGTAAACCCTAAAAGATGTTATTGTAAATATACAAGTTGTTTATGATGTTTCAGAATATCCATCTCTGTAAGGAAATTAGTTCTATCGTTTTTGTGATTGACGCTCTCTTCAATTTTTGTTTTTGACTGCTTGATGAAGTCTCACAGTGACTCTGGTTACTTTTTGTATAAACACATTTCTTTTGTGTTTCTTGTCTTTAGTTTATTAGTCTGTCATGAAGCTTAATCTGTTTAAAAGTTCATCGCTGGTATACATTCAGTGCATTCTAATAGCGTTTGATTTACTTGCCTTCTATGTCTGGTGGTTTAGAGTAATCGCTAGATGTAAGCTTTCTTTCCTGCAGCCTTTTGTGAAATCGCTCCCCTATCTGAAGTCATCAAATAGTTTGCCCCATTACAGACCATTAATATACAGTATTACGAGCTTTTTAGCTGAGATATTGGAGTTTCAAATATAATAGGACATTCTGGTTAGAAATTATTCCTTCAGTCCCTTGTAATTTTTCAGTGTAAAAGATTGGATAAAAGAAACAATGTTTAAGATTTCACAGATTGAAATCATGAGTCAGTTGAAGCTAGACCACCATTGAAAACCTGGAAGCACTGGACGGCCGTTTCGTCCTAGTATGGGACTCCTCAGCAGTGCGCATCCACGACCCCGCACCACCCGGGGCTCGAACCCAGGACCTACTGGCTTCGCGCGCGAGCACTTAACCATTAGACCACTGAGCCGGCATCCAACGGTGTTAATGTCTAACTTCAACCAATCCACGAAGTTGCGCTACCGTACACCATTGTCCTCAGTGAGTTCCTATCTCACAACAGACCTGGTTGAACTCCACTGGTAACGACTTCTCACTAGAACTCCAGAAGTGTCTCCTGAAGTCAGTCACTAGTGAGCAGGTGATTATTATTATCAGAATGGGTTTTGTGGAGATTTTAGAAATTTCACAGATCATGATTTCACAGATTGAAATCATGAGTCAGTTGAAGCTAAAATCTCCACAAAACCCATTCTGATAATAATAATCACCTGCTCACTAGTGACTGACTTCAGGAGACACTTCTGGAGTTCTAGTGAGAAGTCGTTACCAGTGGAGTTCAACCAGGTCTGTTGTGAGATAGGAACTCACTGAGGACAATGGTGTACGGTAGCGCAACTTCGTGGATTGGTTGAAGTTAGACATTAACACCGTTGGATGCCGGCTCATTGGTCTAGTGGTTAAGTGCTCGCGCGTGAAATCAGTAGGTCCTGGGTTCGAAACCCGTGTGGTGCGGGGTCGCGGATGCACACTGCTGAGAAGTCCCGTAGTATGACGAAACGGCCGGCCAGTGCTCCCAGCTTTTCCATGGTGGTCTAGCTTCAATCGACTCATGATTTCAACTTGTGAAATTTCTAAAACTCTCCACAAAACCCATTCTGATAATGTTTAAGATGTTTTACAAGGATGGTAACAACTGGTTGTTGCTTATTGGGTATGTTAGCAAATATTCCGCTACTTGTGTTTGATAATAAAGTTGAAATTCATGGCTAGAAAACATATTTCGAAAGCCCTCATGCGCACAGCATATTTATTTTTGTGAAATAGGATAAATCCATATCTTAATGAACGCCCAGTGAAAATACCAAGTTCTCTTGGGTTTAAAGAAATAGTAATATATCTGCTCAATACTGTGGGTTCCGTTGCAATAAAGAATTATTAACACCGAAAGCAAGTAGCAGAAACAGCAAATAACGACAGATCCGTAGATAAATAAATATGTTTCCTGTTATGCGTAATTGTTGGGGATACGGAATTCCCAAAGACTAAATCAATGAACGAATCAATTTTTGAATTCATAAATTGATTTAAAGTGAACTTCGCCCACTAACTTTCAATCAGTATGTAATTCTCTATTTTTTTTAATGTCTTCATTGTTTTAACTAGCATACGGTGATTCGTATTCAGTGGCCATTACCCTGTCCATAAATTCTAATAATTTAAATCGATTTGTAACTGATTAATTTTGCTTTGTGTTTTGAAGTGTATTTACGCTTCTCCTACAAGTCGTGTTTTGGTTTTGAGGTTGGTTTAGTGAAGATCAAAAGTGTTAGGGAGCCGGCGCAGACTGTAGTAACAAGCTTTAAATTGAATGATATTTCAAGTGTCATGATTTTCATTTAGCAAGGTTGTGTTAATAAGCGTTGCAGGGGAGATTGGCATAACTATTTCAAACGAAGTGTTATGTCCAAAGTGTGCAATCAGAAAAGTGTTTATGTCGGTCATACGCTGACATTCTGCTGGTGGTTGTATTAAAAATCATTAGTTTGTCCCGTTTATTGAATTTCCGATTCAGTCATTTGGCTAAAAGTGTCACCAATAATATATAGACTATTAACTTTTAATTGTAGGCGTTTCAGATGAGCTCATCAATTGTTGACTGATATGCACTTTCAAAAGACTACTCTATACAAAACCGCAAATTCATCTGTATTATTAGTGCAGTACATATGCAAAGGATGAACTGTTCGTACTTTACGCATATACGTATCTGTTCACACTGCTGAAGTTTATTACCTGGAAATTAAAAGCCGAAAATTTGTGTAGAAATCTAACTTCCGTTTCTTCTTTATGACTCACTGGATGTACTTCCTGGTTAAACTGTTACACGAGTATTATACTTATACATTCAGTATAAACGTTTGACCATTTTAAAATCTTTGCACTACACTTTAAAGTTTATTGCAGTTGGAACACAATTAGGACGTATTCATTTACTGGATCACAGTGGTTTTCCTGTTGAAAATGGATTTTATGGCGTGGTAAGCTATCATATTCTATATTATTACTTGTAGCAATATTCCATATACATGAGTTTTATTGTTTGCGTATATTCCACTTACATATAACTCACTACTGATACTAAAATCCTGTGTTTACAAGCGTGACATGCTCACTGCTAAGTAGCTTATTGTTAAAAATGATAGTTCCCTTCTCAGTTACGGGGTTAACATTGATTACAGGCCTAGTAGTTTAATCAGTGGACCTTAAAATAGTAAGTCCCAGATTTGAACCCCGCTTCACCCACTTCGTTTTAGTTAGTCGGTCTCAATGCAGAATACACAAACCTTTATTTAGTAAAAATGTCACAAATGGGTATGTTTTCAGATGTTAAAGCCTTTCTTTATAAATGTTACTACTGCTAGCCATAGTAGGTGGTAAATGAAAATCCCAAGTATACCGTTTTTAGCGTGTTGTCGATCTATCATGACTACACACAACTCGTTTTTGGTTGAAAATCGTTTTGTGCCGTAGTAGTGAGCAAGTTTGGGTTATTGGAATACTGATTGATAGATAATACACAATCATACGATTTAGCTTACTGGTAATTGTTCATGACACCAAATTGTTGGTGTTAGTTCTGTATTAAGGTGCTGACAAAAATAACAGCACAACTGGTCAATAAAATGGGTTTTTTTAAAAATAATAAAATGTCATTTTAAAATGCCAAATGAGGAATATAAACATAAACATAGTTAGAAGTCCTAATTATAAACTATTAAAAGGTACGGACTTCATAGGTTACTCATGCGCTATTAAAGTTATGACCTAACTATCAGACTTTGTTCATGAAATTCATCCCAGTACTATGTCCGTTTTGAACTTCATTACATGTCCCGTTTATTGTACACGAAGACTGTAGCGGTAACTTAATGTTGGTGGTTCACAGTCCGGTTAGGTGTTTCAACATGAAGCAAACTGTAATTCGTCACATCACTGTAGTCTAGCATTTCATCCATCTATTCTTTTTATTAAAAAAATGTAATTTTAAGATAAATAAACATTTAGAAAAAAATTAGGAATTGTCTCTTAGATTTAATTTCAGTTATTTTACTATTCTCTAAACAGTAGTTGATGTTAAGGTTCTTCATTCTGTTCGAAATCCATGTAAGTACAAATGTAATGATAAATATTTATAGACAATCATATCATTAGTCATTACCATATATCGTATTTCAAATAAGCGTGATTGGTTATTTGTACAACATGATCAGATTTTGTTCATAGTTTTTGTTACAGGATTAAAAAATTCAGTTTTAACAGTAGCAGATCTTCCAGTAGTTGTCTGTTTTAAGTTTTGATTGGACTTCTTGGTATTGATATTGTCGTTGACTACTAGTGATCAGATTCGAAGGTAGGTACTGTTTACCAGAGTCCTGAACGTGTGTTGTTTTTCATTTGATGCTGATCATTAGAGTAGGCAAGTATCCTGGTAGCTCGGAATATCCTCACCAAATTATTTAAAATAGATTTAAACAAAACTTTTGTCATGACTAAATATCATTATCAGTCAGACAATAAGTCATAAGTTCGTACATTCATTAATTATTATTCATATTGTTATCATTATTTCACTCATTTGTTTTGTTATATTGTATTTAAATATAGGTTTTACTAGGATAGTTCTTCAACCGATGTTCATAAATTATTACTGACTAATATAGTTGTCATAAACGGTATATATGTTTATAACTCTTCATATACATTGATCCTCTAGTACATATCAGTAATCTGTTTTTCTTTCATATTGAGGCAATTTATAGTTTTTGCAATGTTGATATAGAAATAAAGCAGAAAATCATCAAATACAACTTTGAATTTCTCTATTGCTTTTAATCATAATTCTACAGTTTTTCCTTTGTAAATTCATTACTTCATAAATCATCACTCTTTTGCTTTCAGCATACCGGACCTGTTAATGCAATTAGTATATCGGAGCAAGGTTATTTTATTGCTAGTTGTGGAGAAGATGGACTTGTAAGTAAAACATCATAAAATTTAAATCCGCTACTCAGTGTACTTTTGCTGTTGAAAAGTCCACTGAATTATTTAGTTTCCTTTCACATATATCTATATATCCTTTGCTTTTAATTTTTGTTAGACATATATACTTCTTAATATGGGGGACTTTGTGAATATTGTGGAGTTTTCATAGTTTAAATTATGAACTGATATCAGCCAGACCATTATTGGGAACTGAAAGCACTGGAAGGTGGTTTCATCCTTGTGTGGGACTTCTCACTAATGCATATCTACAACTCTGGATCCGGGAGTTGGACCCAGTACCTCCGGTCTCGCGTGCGACTTCTCAACCTCGAGACCATTGAACCAACATCTAAAGGTGTTAATATCTGATTTCAAACAACTCACGATATTGTGTAATCCTCATCAATTGCCCAGTATCGTAAATTGATTGGATTTCGTAATGTGTGTTCTTATCCTCTGAAGATAGACCTAATTATTGAGATAAATTGTTTTGTGTCTAGACTTCTTAAATAGGTCATTTGACCCGATTTTACCTAGTTAAAACATGATAATCTGTTGTATCTAACTGTTGAAGATATTGGTGATTTAACTTGTCTCTTAAATAATCATGTCTGGTAGTTGCTCTGATTAGTCCCTTAAGTTTATTTGTATTCTTTATTGGGTTACCATTTGTTTATGATGGCTATTCAGTTCCATTTTTTCAATTTGATTCCCTTTCTAGTTAGTGATATATAATTTATCCTCGATATTACCTAATCAAGTTAGCAATTTCCAGTATCCTATCAAAGCGGTTGCTATTGCTCCAGATTTTGAAAAATCTAATAATTTGGTTGTTGGCTTTAACAAGGTGAGGATCTTAACATCTGATATTTGCATCACACATATATCTGTTTTGTCTTCATAGGTTGTTTCATTCTTAACAAGTAAATTGTGCTGAAAACAATCTACATTACGAACTAACAACAGCTGATAAGTCTTTAAAAATCAAAGGAAACATCCATTATTTATTTTTAGCTTGGGACTTTTCATCGTCGTGTGCTCATGATGCCCGACCTAGTCTAAACCTAGAAATTGGATGTCCAATCTTTCTACAGAATCGAAAAGGAACGATTTTTACTGTTTACTATATGCATCTAATTGTTTAAGCACATAAATATTGGTACAAACAAACACCATAATAAATATGTGCCACACAATAAGAAAATTAAATTGCGAACAGATAGATAAGGATGGTGAGTTTGAACAGAAATAGTAAACGAACGAGAGTAGTATATAGTAGGAGCATATTATATTATATATGTAACTGCTACCTGGATGTGCTTGTCGGGCTTGCTTGTGGTGATTACTCAACCAAGCTATATTGTCCGGAACACATGTCGCTTTAGGTCGTACATGCAAAGCAGGTCGGTTGGTAAACGACAAAACTAAAAGCAGCAACTTAAGGTTTAAAGGTATTGCTGACTGTAGAGGGGTGCGATAGAAGTAAGGTGTTTCCTTCGGACAACTAGCATCTGCGGCGATATTGCCTTTTCACAACGGAAGGGAGGAGTTAGTAAAGATCGACCCTAAGAACGTCACACCTCATCTTACCCTTTGGGTTCTACGGTTACACTCCCAAGTTGCTAAGATCACAATTAATTAGGCTTTTCAGATCCTCCAAGAAATATCTTCCCACGGTACGGGCAGCCGGGCACCCTAGATCATCTTGTTGAGGATAAAATCCCTACCTCAACTCTTATTAATTCTATTCTCATAACTAATCCTTTTCATTTATATTACTCATCACGCGCCACCAATGTTAATGATTTAAGTTCAAGAAATATTATTCCTAGTCTCTTGAAACCACACTTAAAACTACGCGTTGGGGCCTTTGATGTTCGAACTTTGTTAGATAGGACAACAGTCTTTAGTTAGGACTCTATAATCTCACGCTATCGGTATATACAGTGTCTCTGAAACGCGCATACAAGATCCCAGTACGTCCATTCATTTGACATCACCTTGTCAATATAAAAAACCGGCACAATTTATCCTTCGAGTATCTGGATACCTCAATGCTACACCCCGTGGCCTGGTTGGTGTGGGTATAGCATTAAGTTAAAAAACAGAACAGGGTCAATTAGTCTGGATTCCAATAGACAGTCGCATGTGAGGGATAATAAGGAATCGAAAAGATAGGAACAACTAGAGATAGAGCATCTGACTGGTCTCGATCGTCTCAGTTTACGAGAAAGGATAAAAAATCCCCTTGTAACAATCACAGAGGAATCAGTCCAACTAATGTAGTGTTTAGAATATTAGCCTCAATAGTACTTGGACATATAACTAGAGTTCGTGAAGAGCCAACCCAAAAAAATCAGGCAGGCTTTAGACATGAATGTAGATGTACAAGCTAAATATTCACACTTTGGCAGATTCTAGGACACAGACATACTTTTTGACATACAGCTATAGTTGTATTCCATGATCTTAAAACTGCGTTCGACTGATGATCATGAGATTTCATGGCGGTGTTTCACTGAAAGGCGTACCAAAGAACTACACCAACGTTGTACAGGTTCTCTACTCGAACACTTCTGGTAGCGTTATAGCTTATGAGGAACGTATAAAAACTGTCATCCTCAAATGGTGCTCGTCAGGGCCATTCACTTCTTCCATTTTTATTTAACTTCTTAGACATACTTTGAAAAATAAGACTTTCATCGTCCGACTTTTCAAGGATTGATTTTCTGCCTGGAGATTCACTTTTTTACGCAGATGATATGGTTCTGTTTGGTGAAGACGCTGACAAAATGCAGTCTTCTGATCACCTTAAGCAGCAATGCAAGCATGTTTAAGATTCGGTTCTCTCCATCAATATGTAAAATTTGACTTCACGATTGGCTTGTGTCGTTGCCTGAATTACTGATAGAGAGTGAAGTGGTTGAATGCATAGACCGCTTCATTTATCTCTGGAGTCTCATAATTACTGGTAATCTGGAGTCTACTGACATTTCGGGACGGATTCAGAAGGTTTAATTGTCTTTTGCGGAATCGCGTCACTTGTGGCGTAGACGAGATATTCTTCTTCCAACCGAAGGGTTGGATGTGAGACATGGCCATTAAATATAGAGGATATTCGTAGGTTACTGGTATTCGATTATAGGTGTCTTCGAAGCATTACTCGTGTATTTCGGGTTCAGGGGGTAAGTAATGCCTGGGACATGTGTGCCCAACCACCTCGACAGGCGATGTTTTCTGGTACAGGAGCAGGCGGAAAGAAAGTTAGGAGAGGGTGAACCAAAACATGGTATTAGTCCATGAAGTCAATAACAATTGGATTAAGCTATGTTAATAGGAGTAGACTACTTGGTTGGTCCGTGTAATAACCGTAACCAATGGATAGAGACTTTGGATGACACGGCTCAAAATCGTTTGCAATGGTATAGGTGCATCAATTATTTGTCTTCCTAGAAGTTCTGAGATTCTGAATTCCTCGTAACTTTTTTAGTTTTCGTTTCACTAATTTATATATTTTTTTCGAGTCGTATCTTCGATGCCTGATTTTTCCAATTCCCACTGATACTATTACTGCCTCCACTAATCTGGGATTTGGCGTGACAAGTTTATCTTGATATCCTAATGCGGCATAGCAACCTGAAATGATGTGCATACGTGCCAGATTCTACATTGTGACTGACTATATGTAAAAGGTCTTGTAAGAAATACATTTATATGCTGTTTAGAACACTCATGATTAGTCAGAAAATACGAAATGACCATATAAAAGCAAAATTACAAAAATCTACCCACTCCTTACGATGAAGATGTTATATAACATTATATAACATTATTACTTATATCAAATTGATCATGCCTGTAAACTGGCGTGAATTCTGTAATTGTTATTTTTCAGAATATAGAATTATTATTAAACCAGTAAACGTTTTTTACAATGAGCTACAAAGTCTCAAACTAACTGCCTTGCTAGTAATTCACTGAGTGAAAGGTTTACTGGTGGCATAGTAATGCTCAAATCAATCTCAATTTCCATACGCTTCTTTACATCGCCATCTGGTAACTCTATTTTTCCTACTCTTCAATAATTTCGTTTAAAAAGGTTTTGTAGGCAAGTAAGAATTTTGTATGAAATTATTTACCGCTACAAAAAGATTCAGGAAGAAAGATAAATAAGATGCTGGGGAAAATTCTCTGCAATACTAAGCTGCTAAAATAACTAATAGTTCGCTGTGAAAGTATTTTAAGCTCACTAACATCTCCATACTCACTCAGGATTAATTACCGTTTTTTTAAACTCATTTCTCTTGGTTTGTGTCAATTGGCTTGAAAATGACTTCCATATTCCGTAATCATTTTTAATTTCGCCCCCACAGCATAGCTATATTCACTATTTGTATATTGCACCTTATTCAGTTTTCACACGTAGGTGGTATATGCAAGCCTTAATATAAGTAGTGTGATTCAAGCACAATTTCCCATGATGATAAATGATTATTGATTAGTATTTTAGATACAATAGGAATACTGTAGTTGCTATAACGATTGTTGGTAGGTATTAAAACTAGTTCGGCGTATTTATACCATTGTTTAGTGATGGCAATGTGAAGTTTTCTCCAGGTTAATGTTAATTACTAAATCTTAGTTTTCGTGTTCATTATTTTTATATATCACAAGTATACTGGGAATACTCATATTATATTATATATTTTTTCATAGATATATCTGCTTTCAAAAGGTATGTTTACCAAAGCAAAACACGACGAGCTTGCTAAAGTTCATGGCTTGGTTAGAACAATCAAATGGCATTGTGAAATCATCTTGTGGGCTGATGATAAAGTAAATACTTTTTTATCATGTTATGATTCTTAAAATAAACATCTTGTTTTCTGAGATAAACTTTTCATAAATGTGAAAATTAGATATAGCTTTTCCGTATTCGTGTTTTCTCACTGCTATTTTCATCTAATTACTTGTCCTCACTTTAAGTTAACTAATTTTTGTTTTCTCGAGGTTATATTTGTCGCCATATAAACAGAGTTGTTCTACTACAATTTTGAATTGTTTAAATAACAAGTTTTTTTCATTAGTTCCCAACTTATGATTTTTGAAGTATTGTGTTTTCATCGCCTGTCTATCTTGTTTACGTAGATCCCATTTTACATCAAAAGGATTTCTCAGCCGTACGTCGTTCTAGATTGCATTGGGTTATCCTAAAATAGGTCACTTATAACTAATGTAGCGTTTATGATCTACTTTAGTCAAATAAAAAGTAAATTGTTACAAATCTTCAAATTTAATCAGTGTCTCAGTATAGTTCGGGTAATCAGTTATTGATAAGACATTTTGCACAAAACTATCAGACTTAATATTATTGAAATCTAATCATTTTGTAACCATACTATTAGTTGTCAGTATTAATGAATTGAATAGTAAGAAACTTGAAAAATGCCCATATTGTGAATTAGAACAACAGATATAAGCGAACAATATTGTTTTCCATTAGATCCTCATCAGCATTTACTCTAATGTGCAGTAATATTTAAGTGCATATAAATATTACTGTATATTAGAGTAAAGGCTGATGAGGATCGAATGGAAAACAATATTGTTCGCTTATGTATGTTGTTCTAGTGATAGATTGTTTTGTAATAATCTTAGACATTTAATTTACAATGATTTTACTTGTCTCAGCTTTCATTTTTGTCTATTATTAACTTTTCAATTGATTCTAGTGTATATGTGTTTACGATATTCGTGATCATCGTCCAATTACTTTTATTCAGTTCACTAATCCTAATGATGAGTAAGTTGTGTTTTTTGTTGAAACATAAAACAATCATTTTTCCTCGGAATAACTTATCTGTGTCCACTTTAAAAAAGGTTTAAATTCATTACAACAATTAAATTTCATAAATCTATATTCTAATTTTAACCAAAATCTAGTTAATTAATTAATGAAATAAATTAATAGACCCAATAATTTTTCTAAGGCAGTCGGAAGAATAGTCAAATTTCATTAGAAGCTAAAATCTCTTTGGGAACGACAACCACCTGCACACTTTCAACCAATTCGATTTTCTGCAAGACCCTTACACTCTGATTGCTTACCAAGTTTTTTTGGCTTGCTAAATTGCTGCATGCTTGAAGGTCATATTCTGCTACTATGGTTACAACTTTTGTATCCGTTTCGTTTAAGTTGTTTATCCTAACACAAATATCAAGTTACCTGCAATTCCGTCTTTTTCCTGTGTAAGCCATCGAGGTTTAATGTGTTGAGTATAATTGACTGTCGTTAGTTCCGAACAGAACCGATCGTATTAGAGTAGCTCAATCGTTTTCGTTCCTAGATCCATAACATCGTAGACCGTACTAAAAATTATCTGGTAGTTTTTAAATTACATGTTAGTTCTTTCTGTAAAAGTTAGTCTAAATGATATCTCCTTGATTCATATTTATTTATGCCGGAAGGGTTTTGTGGACATTATAGTAATTTCAATGGTTGGAATCATGAGTCAATTAAAGCTAGACCACCATGGAAAACCAAGAAGCACTGAACGGCCGTTTCGTCCTATTGTGGAACTCTTCAGCAGTGCGCATCATATTTATTTCCTCAATGTGTTTTGTTCTTATCTGACTGATTGTTTTTGGTTTATTAACTAAGTAATTTACCCTAAGCTCATTGGATTTTACTATGTATGTATAATTGTCCCATTTCAACTTTTGACTTCTTTAGGGATATGAAGTTATTCTGGTAATCCCGTCTTTTATGTTAACGTGTGGACTATTAATGTTAAAACATTGTTATGTGTCAGAGATCCTATACGTTCAAGTTCATATTCATCATTATTCGTACTAAAGAAATCCTCATTTGTTGGGTTATAGAATGTACCGTTGACCAACTAGAAAACCCAGTATATAATCGTTTTTACCAAGATACAACAATTTAGACTCCTGAATAGTTAAGCTTATATGATTATTCAAAAATGAAGAGTATTTGAGTGAACAATTGTATTCATCAAGCTCTACATTTATAAGTCAATAATTATAATATTTTACAAAGACCAAATTGAGGCATGTATTAGTGAATTTCACAATGTAATATGTTACAAATGGTGAATGTTTGCATCTGTTACGATATATATACTTCAAAATTGTGTTATTCGTAAATTAGAAAGGTCATTTAATGAAGGTCAGAATGATTTGGAGTAGTGTCCAGTCACAGTCAGTATAATAGTAATATAGCAAAAGTGAAAAAGCGAAAAATCGTGTGAATAAAATGCATAGCAGGAGAATTTCATCTTGTCAATCGAGATCATAATGATAATAATAATAATAATATTGTTGTGCGAATATGTGTAATAATAGCGGTGTTATCAAGGTAATTACGATAATAAAAGTTCATGTGAATCGGGAATGATGGATGTGTAGATTAAAATAGGTGTAATAAAAAAGTGGGAAGGGGCTAAGAGGTTTATATTATTCAGTTTAGGTATCTGGTGATCCAGTCGTAGGCCAAGGTAAACATAGAAGCTGGATATAGCTTTTCTGGATACATAAGTTTGGTTTTCTGGAGTTAATCCAGATGGCTTCGGCTATGTAGAGTAGCCGTAATCTAGCTCATTGAGGTAGATTTTTTGGAACTTGAGAGAAAGCTTCCTCCATTTTAATATGATGTTCTTTCTCACAAATTGAGAAAGAATAGTGCTATTGATCGATTTAGTAACTTCTTTTCTCAACCATGCTGGTATATGTTCACGAACATGCATGCATAAGGCCCTCTGAGTACGGCCTATGTAACTAACTCCACAGGAGCAGCTGAATTGGTATACACACATGGAGAAGCCCATCATCAGTAACTTATCCTTGATTTGTTGTGTACGTACTGGTTTAGTTGAGGAAGTTATATGTAGCTTGACTGTGTGAAATGTCCTTTCAACAAATCTTTTGATTTGACGTGTTAAAATATCACCTGCTATATCCCCTTTAAAGTCCAGTTTCAGATATAGGGTTTTTTACTGACTGAGTCACAATTTCTTTTTTAATGCATTCTACTAGGAATTTTCTGACGAAATTGTGGCTATCCTGAAAATCCCTAGTAAAAGGCATTAAAAATGGAATTGTGACTCAGTCAGTAAAAAAACCCTAATGGACTTTTTATTTATGTTTTTTTATAGAATAAATAATTTACCTACAGTTATAAAAACCCTATATCTGAAACTAGACTTTAAAGGGGACATAGCGGGTGATATTTTAATACGTCGACTCAAAAGATTTGTTGAAAGGATATTTCACGCAGCCAAGCTAAATATAATTTTGCTGTGTGCATATATTTCTTGATGAACTCATTCTGGTTAGGCGAAAATAAACTGAATATAAATGTGTTTCATTAGTACTAAAATTATCATATTCATTTCAGTTAATTTTAAATAATCTCGCTAATTGTTTTTATCATAATAACAATAATGTTTATTTAAATAGGTTTTGAAGACTAGTTTAATGTAAAGATAGTCGTGATCATAGGAGCTTAACCATGTGCTGCATGAGAAATCACTGATGGTAATGGATAATTATCATGCTATACTAGTTACTAACTGGGTTTCAAAATGTCAATCAATTGATTCGACCCCGGTGGTGGGGCCGTGGATGCACACTTCTGAGGAGTCCCATGCTGAGGAAAAACACCTGTCCTGTGCTACCAGGTTTTCTTTGATTGCCTAACTTAAGTCAGTATAAATTTATGCATCCGTTTCTGGTCATTCTACGTCACTGGTTATCAATCCAACATCGATGATATTTTCAATTGATCAACACCATTTTTTTTAAAGAATCGATTTGAAGAATCCCAATTGGTTTATTTGATCAATCAGTTAGAAGTTTTTTTAAGTGAATATACTGTTCTTCTTCAGATTATGTATGATCACAGCAGATAATCTTGTTTACTTTTCCTTTGTTAGTGAAAACTGATCAGATAAAAGCTGTATTTAGGCTAACTACATAGTTTTTGAGAGTTGATAAATATTTTGGAAGAGAAAACGAAGAAATGATTGTGTAAATCAAATATTATACATATAGTCAACTAGGTTGCTAATCTTTGAAATCATCACAGTGAAGACCGTGGAATATTTTAAGGATAATAAACATCTTTTCGTGATTTCGACTTTGACACTACCACCGTATATTTCATTGCATTTCAACCACTACCATTTAGATACCGTTACTATTGGTAGGAGTTAAGAGTCATTTCTTGTTTTCTGACCTTCGTTGATACCCTTTGTTGTTAGTTTCATATCTGATAAGTAACCCAACCATCATATTTTGGTTAAATATCCTAAATAAAAATAATAACTTTAATTCTCTTATATATTAAGTCAATCATGTGTTAGTCCTTCCTTGTAAAATCTAATATAATTGGAGGTTGATTTATCGTTCCGACCACTTCAATCACTACTATTTTATTTTACCAACTGTTCCGTCATATCAGGGTCTACCATGCGTAAAACCTAAAATGTATATGATCATTAACATTTCTACGATGTTTGTCTTTCAAAACTAATTATTACATTTTGTATCTACCTTGAATAGATTAACAGTTTTCAACCTCTAAACTACTGAAATCTGTTTAGAGAACACAGGTGAGTACAACTGAATCATATCTAGCACAAAGTAACTGTAGTTACTTGGTAAAATAGAAAAACCATACTATAATACTTAATTTGCAAAATGTTCAATAATTGTCTCGGACTTCATTGTTCATGCATTTCCATACTAATTGCTTTCTATTCCCGCTCTTCCTTTCTTGATCTTCTCCATCTTCTGCTGCCAGACATTACATTCCTGACTCGCGTCATATACTACTTATATCAATATAAGTAGCACGCACCACAGTACTAATGGCTACAAATAAATTTGAGAAAATTGTTGTGTTGGATTCCCATCAACTTCGGTTCCTATATATCTTAAATTTTCAAATGTTATAATCTATCCACTTAATATATCGGATTTAACGGATTAAATTATATCAGGACTTTTTATTTATGTTTTTTTATAGAATAAATAATTTACCTACTATGTGTAGTCTTTGTTGGTGTACAGAAAATTGTTTTTTAATTAGTCGAGGACACTCAATTCGTATTTGTCAAATTTCGGATCGGACTAGTAATTCTGATCATTCATTGCATTCCAGCAATTCTTCATTGACTCATCAGTCGTCTCAAAGTTTATCATCAGTTGAATGTCGTATTGGTTTGCCAAGTCGTTATGTTGAAATCGTACATCAAATTAATATGAATAATTCTATTATTATTCATAGTGTTTCAAGACATCAGACATGTATTCTACTCTTATTTAATGTTATTAATGACTTGTCTAAATCAAACTATGAAATATCTGTTCTTGATATTGATTTAGATTCAATCAGTAATAATTCAATTTCATCTAATCAGCAATATAAAGAAATTTATCATAAAAGTTTATCAATGAAATCAACTGCTTCATCATACATTGTCGGCTTAGGTAAGATTTTCCAATGCTTAAAACCATGTTAATTGAATATGTTCAACTTGATAAATAAATTGTGAAACACTTCTTAGATTGAGATTTTTAAAAATATACTAATTATTATTTTTAGGATGACTTTACTTTGGTTATATTATTTTTTCTATGTGCAAATATCCATTTTCTTTGAATATACATTGAATATTGGTTAGTTATCACTTCCCTTGTATCCATTCTGTTTTACAGAGATTACAAGAACTCTGGTTTTTATTTTGGACTCGAAAAATTGTAATTATATTTGTGATCTGTAAACCACTTAGGCTTCATAACTTTTGTCTCTGGTTAACACGACCTAGAAAAAAATCAAATAACTAACGTATGATATAGAGTCTATATTTCACATTCAGCTTTGTCCTCTTGTCAATTAGGTACGACTCTGTATAATAATATATTATGTAATATGATTATCACTTATCAACATAAGTCCAATAAATTTATTCACTAAATTATTTAAAAACAAATGCTCAGTTTGTATCTTATATAAGATACAATAGATGGACTAAGATGTTTTCGTATAATCCAAGGATAGTTCTCGTCATGGCTGTCATCAACCGAATCAATCATCATCGTCTAGACTGAGTGAAGTGGTTGAGTTCGTTTACCACTGACTTGTCTTGTAAGTCTCATCAGCCCTGGTAGGTTAATGTCTGACGAAACATGGACACGGGTTCAAAAATGTCAATTGACCTTTGTAAATATTCGTCGCTTATTATGTAGACTAGATTTCCGTCTGGTAATCAAATTATGAGTTTGCTCTGCAATAACCTGCCTTGAATTACCATATGGCTGTACAACCTGGTCTTCGAACGTAGAAGACATGAACACTACAGATTCTCGTTACCGGTGTATTCAAAGCGTTGCCTGCATCTGTTGGGACCGCTTCATGGTCTATTCTAAGGTCAGACACGGGGAACCACGCAAAGATCACAAACCAGTTGGTGAGGCTGTGGATCTTCACCGACCAAGGTGGTTGCGACATGTACTACATATGTCTAATCACAATCTACCACAGCGGGCGATGTTTGCTGATATAGGTGTAAGTCAAAAGAAATCCAGGGGTTTCCAAACCACGACGTGGCATCAGTGCATAAAGTTGATCCGAGCAATGTTGTTAGATGCAGACAACTTGGTTAGTGTCCACACAATAACCACATTCGGTAGCTGAAGAAGTTGTGTGACATGACTCTAAATCGATTACTGTGATGCACTTTCGATTTCCTGTCCCCTTTTTGATATTGAGTCCTAGTGTTACTTTATATACACCGTTACATTTTGTTTTGTAGAACTATATTCTTAATATTTCAGTATTTCATTATCCTTGCTGCTACATTATTTCGATCTCTTACTGTTCATTTTATTAATTTCATCACGTTGTACTATTGTGGTATAGCAAATCGAACTGTCATACTTGTGTCAGGCTCAACGTCGATTATAACAGCCTCAGACAGCTGTTTTATCGAAGTTTAGAATTTTTAGCGGCATACATTCACAAATTTAATGAAAAGTGAATATTTTTTTTTATCATTGTACGTTTGTATCCGAGTTGCTTTTGAGAGAGTTCCGTATTATGTTTACATTTTGTCTGATGTGCAAGTCGGAAATTTTTAACCCATATTGTGTTTCTTTCATCAAAAGTAACCTAACTTCATAAAACTATATTTTATTCAACTTTTTAAAAGGTATTATTAGTCAACTGAAATTTATACACGCACATAAAATGTCAATGACAATGTTGTTCATTTCCATTGAATAGTGTGATACTGTTTATAATGGATTTAAGTAATATATTAATTAGTAGATTAGTTTAACAATGAATTATTTTCAGAAGGGTTTTTTTTGGAGGTTTTAGAAATTTCACTGGTTGAAATCATGAGTCACTTGAAGCTAGCCCACCATGAAAAACATGGAAGCAATGGACGGCCGTTTTGTCCTCGTATGAAACTCCTCAGCGAGACTGATAGGTCCTGGGTTCGAATCCCACGGGGGGATCGTGGATGCGCACTGTTGAGAAGTCCCATACTAGGACAAAACGGCCGTCCAGTGCTTCTAGGTTTTCCATGGTAGTCTAGCTTCAAGTGACTCATGATTTCAACCTGTGAAATGATGAATTATTTGACGAATTCCATTAATTCTGCCCATGTATGCTAACATAAAAAAATCCGTAAAACAATTCATTTAAGAAAATTTCGTTTGCAAAAGCTGTACAATCGTATTTATAGTCATTTAACATATATTCACCTATAGGAAAATGATTAGTTACTGTATCATTAACTAAGTAATCGATAAATTCTCGATTACAAAGCAAAATTTATGTAATAGTGTATTAAGGCAATGAGAAACAGCAACATCTAAATACGAATATAGAAGGGAAATCAGAAAAATTATTGTCTACTTGCTAAGCATAAAAACGTATGGACAAAAACGAGCAACAACAATAACTTGTAAAATTAGAAGTAGGTGATTGGTCACATTTTTTTGAATATAGATCAGACTTGTATGGAAAAATTGTTAAGGCGTCTGGTGTGCAAAAATTTAAATCCACCAACTTTATTATCGAACACCTCGTCGAATATGGCTACAGCACGTTCGGAAATTTAAATAAAATATTGAAAGGAAAATTAGTAGAAAATTATGTAACTCTATCTATTGTCCTTAATCTGATAAATTTAATATGTAAAGTACTCAAGTTAAATAGATGTCAATTGAAGTGTGCCCCGATTGGTTATTGAGCAAAGATAGATATGTCCGGCCTGTAGTTAGTGTGTAGACTATTGTTATATGTAAAAGATTACTTTCACTGTAATTATATTTGGATTTCACACTATGAATGCTTTTTAATTTCTCCCGATAATCTGTTCTTGATTTGTTGTCTAGTTCTCGATCGTTGTTCTTACCTTGTATATCAGAGTTCACATGGTATAATGTCTAGTACCCAGTCTCATCGTCAGCGAAATATTAGATCTAACTGTTTAGTGGTGAATTTCTACCCCCCCCCACCGGTTAACAAGTATAGGAAATTGAAAATTAAATAAACTCATTTTTCTCTTTTATTTACCTTTACATGATAGTTAGTGTACCTCATGAAAATACTCATTATATATTTTCAAGAAAAGAGCTATTTTGTGCACAAGAACTAACCCTTGATGATCGTATTGATTGGTTCCTTGAAAATAGTTTATTTTCTAAAGGACTTGAAGCTGCTCAAGAACATCCACGATTGTTGACTCGTCATACAGTTCAAGTAAGCGTAATCGAAAATTAGTCTATATTAGTTTAAATGGAGTTTTAAAGTATTACAATTCAAAATAATCTGAAATATTTTACTCAAAATTGTAAAATCAAATTATTGAAATTGACGTTGTATCATCACTCTAAATGTTTTTTTTAACCTATTTCTTCTGTTTGGTATAAAAATTACCAAAATAGATGTCTTATTATGAGTGTGTGAAAACATACTTCATACTAGGACTACTTTCACAATTACTCTCCCACAAATTTGTTCTGGATTTTTAAATATTTTTTTCATTGTTCTAAAGTTTTCTTATACTCTATGCTTGTTTTTTCTCCATATGTAAATAATACTTTAATGAAATAAATAAATAAAATTAAATCACTCATCAGGTACATAGCTATGAACTACACTCATAGTATGACAACTAATGATACTACCCGGTTGCTGAAACCGAAGTACGTGGAATAGTGCTCGAATCTGGAACTTAATTACTGAAAGTCGGGCGCCTTAACCATTAGGCCAACGCTTCAATAATGATAGAGCCACTTACGGTCTCCTTAAATAGTCCATTTGTCAATATAGCAGCCATGTATACTACACAATTCATGGCTCACTTTATAGGCACAGAATAATTAATTATGATATAACCGTAGATTATTGATCAACTGCTTTAATCTGATACATAGTTTTTTAAGCGATTTTTTGGAACTAGATTGTTTGCTATGATGGACGAAACACTTGGAAATTTCGTAACATTTCGTGTATACTTTTCTATTGAAATTACTACTTTATTGAACTGATCAAAAGTATAAATGTTCAATAATGCTTGTTTTTATTCTCTATTTCACTATATTTTTCTACTTTCTTCATAGTCTATTGGCATAACGTATATCGATCATTTACTAAGTGAACGTCATTTTATTGAAGCTGGAATACTTTGTGCACAAGTTTTATCAACTAAAGAAGCTTGGGAAGAACAAGTTCGAAAATTCTTAAATATCGATCATTTAGAGGTGATATTTCTGTTAAAGTTTTGTCCTTTTTTAATACAGTGTTCATTAAACACTTTTCATTCACTACTGAACTGATATTATTAATGATACCTGAATAATTTTGATGTCATAATCCCCTTTATTGTTATTTAAGAAAAGCTAAAATTGAAGATATACGCCTAAACATGGTGTTATAATTATTTCTTATCTTGGAACTAAGCTTTCCCAATTGGGTCAGTTGTGAATTTAATACAGTAGATTGGAATTTTTCGGGTAATATCAATTTAAATCTGTAGTTATAGTTATGTTTTTGTTAACATTATCAATATTATCTTATCAAAAAGTAAAAAAATATATATATGTACGGTTCACAGCTCACTTTCCATTTCCTTGGAACATTGTTACACAAAGAGTCTTGAATTTTCACAAAAACTTTTTTTCTAAATGGATTGATAGGCCAAAAGAAAAGAACGTAATTACACTGAAAAACCTGAATCGTTAATAATTACAATTGTTTTTTCCCATTACCTTAATATCTCACTAAACTATATGACTTAACTTGAACGAAGAATATTCTTTTTAATCTAGAAAATGGTCAGATTTAAAGGAAACTACATTGTTTAAAATTATAGCATATGAATTTACAATATAGTGAAAATCGTTAGTGTTGGGCTGATTAATATAAAAGAGCTGATTTGAATAATTTTATACCTTAAATAAAATTATGGGATAAACGATCAGAGTAAATATGGTTAATATGGGATGAGAAATCACGTAATATATAGTATAATATAAATTAGGTACGAATTAATAGATGGGGGTGAATACTGAATAAATTTCTCAAAAACGTTAGTAAGTGTAGTAATAACAATAGTAATACTAGTAATAATAATAATGATAATAATAATAATAATGACAATAGTAAGATGTGTGGATAAGTTTAATATATAAAAACGAACATTAATCAAATTACGTCATCATGTCATAAAAATGATTATTAACTAATTAATTCAGAAGTAGACCATTGTAAAAAAAGAAATTTGAACATATTTCTTCTGGACATAAAGCGTCGGCTTTTTGATCCGGATGGCTATTGCTTCAGTCGTCTGAAAGATTTTCAGTTTGACTGATTCAAGTAGATTGCTATTATTATGATATATTATTGTGAATGATTGCTCCACGTAGTATATATAGCCCGTTTGTACCAAATGAGCTAAATCGAGCTGTTAACAGTTTAACTACAATTTTACTTAAACACACTGGGAAGTACTCGCGAGTCCGAAAATACAAATCCCTAAAATACCTGGCTATATAACTTGCTCCACAGGAGCAACTGAATTGATAGATACAGAAAAAGATGGCTAGTCTAGGTAATTTATCTTTAAATCTTAGAGTGACCATCGAATGTGTAGAAAACAATAATTGTGGTTTCCCTGTATTAAAACTTCTTCGCATTGCTCTGTGCAACTTTAGTATCAGCATTTTGCTGCGTGTATTACCTCTAAATTGTATGCGCGTACACAGAGGCATTTTGCTCACAGTTAGGGCCTTCCTTATGCTCTCTTTTCTTGTCTAAATGTTAATTTCTAAACTTCTCAGAATATCTATTTTTCTTTCAGGGTAGTACGCAATACCTTTGTTTGTTCTTCAACCGCATCTAGGGGTATATGGTCTCAATTCTATAATGAAATGTCTTGATCAGGTTCCTTTTGTATTATAGAGAAACAAAACTAAGAATATATGTATATTGGCCACTGTAATTAGTTTTCTTGTTTAAGTTTCTACTTAGTGACCCATCTATTATCCATTGTAAGTAGAATATCTAGAAAGGTTATTCTACCTCTATTTTCATCCTTGCATGTGAATTTTATAGACGGATGAACTTTATTGAATTGCTCGGGTGTTTATATCAGGTCACTATGGTCGTCACTATCTGTCAAAAATATAATTATCAGCATACGTTTTGTGTCAGCCTTGAATTACAAATTTCTAATCACTCACAGAGATTTTTTCACATATTGAATAAATTTTCCAGTAGATTTTATTTAAGTATTTACATTATATAAATCAAAAATCTTAAGTAGAAAAACTTATCTTATTGATCAACATTCTAATATATTTACAATTAGTTTAACCTTTCCCTATCAAATAATCTATCGTAGCTATTTTGCACTTACAAATAAGTTAGGTAGTTCAAAAAATTCTTTTTTACTTTGATCAAATTTTTTCATTGTATTATTTATAAAATCCAGGCTATTGTACCTTATCTACCTGTTAGTGGTGAGGAGAAGTCTGTGAAACTCAATTCTTCCACATACGAATTAATTCTTACCGATTATATGAAACGAATGCCTATTCAGTTTGCTCAGTTATTAACGGAATGGTGCAAATTAGGCGTTGTTGATATTAGTGAAAATTTTCTCCAAACTTTACTAAACCGTATTGAACAGTATAGTTCTTTATCTGGTAAGATTTATGATGTTAATTTTTCTTTGTTTGGTAGTGTGAGCATAAAGTTTTGAAATACATTTGAAATACTTATACCCTATTACTTATTGTCTACTAGTCATCACTTGCTATTGAAGTTTCACAGTTGAAAATACCACAATCTCCACAAATCCCCATACTGACAACAATCATGGGCTTACTGATGACTAGCTTCAAGATGGATTTCCTTGAATTCTAATGAGAAGCCTTGACCAATGGAGTCCAATCCGTGTTGGTTGGAGAGAGAGCTATCCATCCCAAACAATGGATGAAGGATTGCTCAAGATCATGGATCTATTGAAGTTACACATTACTACCGTTGAATGACGGCTCAGTGTTCTAAGGGTTAAACCTTCGCTCGCGAGACCGAAGGTCCTGAGCTCGCGTTCCACGTGCGCGCACTGCTGATGAGTTCCATGTTAGAACGAAACGGACGTCCAGTGACTCTAGGTTTTCAATTGTGGTTAAGTTTGGATCAACCCATGAATTCAACTATTAAATTTATTACAACCTCCACATATCCTCATTCTGATTTGTTATTTAACAAGTTGATAATCAACTCTTAACGGATTCTCACCCACAAATAATTAAACGGTAGAACAAATATTCACTAATTAATTAAACTTAACTAGTAACAACTGTATTTATAAATTCATGTAAGATAACGAAATAAATATGTTTAATTATATACGAAAAATAATTCAAGGTCACTGACTAATTCAATAAAGTAATTTATCCGGGTGATTCGTGCAAATTACCATAGTTTAAAGATAATTTTTTTAAATCAGAAATTGATATCCGTTGAAGAATCATTGGAAACCAAGTGAAATTTACCAATTGTTTTGTGTAAGATTTTAATCTTCTTAACAGTGTACATTTAAAACTTACCAATTCCAAGTCACATTGTGTCCAAATAATAAATCAGAATATTTTTGTACTTAAATCAGTTTACCATCTAGCATTAAACTCTTTTAATATTATAAGTCAGTTAATATCTTATTAAAGAGGAAGAATGTATATGTAAAATCTCAGCGAAAGAATTTGAAGTAAATCCAACGTTTCGCCTAGCAATCTGGTCCAAGCTTTTTCAAGGAAAATATAACCAAACAACAAAATTATCGAATATAAATAGGTACATAGTTCTCTGGTTTACTGTATACTGAATAAGTTATCCAATCAATGTTAACAATGTTTAAAGTATGTATTTACATTAGTGTGTAAGAGATATGTGGTGTGAAACGAAAAGTGTTAAGATAACAGATTGTGTGTATACGCCATTGATGTGAGCAGACATTTCATTCGACTATATATTGTTTTCGGTCTGTGTGTATTAAGAAAAACATATCATTTATTTGAAATGAATCAAAAATGTCACAGCATGCATTAAATAAAGATAAATAAGATAAGTAAACAAGATAAAAGACTGAATTCAAAGAGGAATATATTTATAATTGAAAGATTGTGTTATCTTAGTGTTCCAGTCAGTTGTTTAACATATTCAGATAAGCTAACTAATTTGAAGCCGTCGTTTCACATATCTCTTACACACTAATGTAAATACATACTTTAAAGATTGTTAACATTGATTGGATAACTTATTCAGTATACGGTAAACCAGAGAACCATGTACCTATTTATATTCGATAATTTTGTTGTTTGGTTATATTTTCCTTGAAAAAGCTTGAACCAGATTGCTAGGCGAAGCATTGGATTTACTTCAAATTCTCTCGCTAAGATTTTACAAATACATTTTTCCCCTTTAATGACTGACATTAACTCGGCGCCCAAATATTGTGAAACTATTCGTTCATATTTAGACGAAAGTTCTTAGTTAATATCTTAGTCTTGATTTTATGGGTTGTAACTTTTCATTCGAACTTTTTGGGAAATTCATTCCGAAAAATTACAAATAAAAATTCTTAAATTTTATCTTATCATTCATTTTGTTAGTTTTAAATTTGTTTACTTATTTATTTATATTCATCTTTATTCTTCCTTGAATATTTATAGAATCTGTTGATCTAACCAAATTAGATACAGATGTACAAGCATTATATCGTGGTTTAGCAATAATATATGAACAAATGGGATCTTTTGAACGAGCAATAAATATATTAGTTCGTCTACGCGATCCAGAAGTATTTACGCTTGTTAAATGTAATATTGCCAAACTTAAAGATCGTCGGCTAGTGGATATATTAAAAGACCATTTGATTTATTTTATGGAGTTAAATACAACAAAAGCGATTAATATGTTAATGGATCATATTGACCAAGTTTCAGTAAATCAGTTTATCATCTTATGTTTATATATGGTTCTGTTTTAGTCTTTTTTTATTTCTCATATGTTTTAAACTTTGGCGCTTTTCACATAAACTATATTAAAAATGTGATTCTTAGTTTCTAAAAGTAAATATTCTATTTGTGTTTAAAGTCCCTCGAAATATTAGTGAATCTCGATCGAATATTCATTATTCATACTGCATTTTCTTCATAATTCAACCGAGTGAAATGAATGTATTTCTTAAAGTTTACTTGTAATTGGATTTTGTTAGACTTCAGTAGGCTTTACCACGTCTATTATTTGGGTTAGTTATATCATGAAACCAACAACTATATATATTTACTGTATTTTATTTCTTTTTGAACGTCTTGTTATCTCGGCAGTATGGTTTGAAAACGTTTTAAGTAATTTCTCATATCGGAGTTGGTTATATCTATCAGAATATTTAAAATAGTGTTCTTAGTTATGAGTAAGTTTATGTCATCAATTATTTACAATAGATCTAAATCAAACTAAATTATAATTCAATTTCAGTAAGTAGAATCTTTTTTTTTTGTTGCATACAAATTAAACTACCATTGTATTTTCTTCCTTTACTTTTGATGATTTCACATAATTCATAACAATAATTATTATTATTTAGTTATTAACTGGAAAATATCTTTGGTCAGGAACAGATTTATTTCTATCTTTTAAAAAACGATTCCATTTCAATTATCATTACCAAGGTTTGACTTGATAATTTCGAGCAAATTGAGCATTGGGTAGATTGTTATAAATAAATTGTATATTTGTAATATCACAATAAGAAAAAAATCGGATTTTCTGACGTTTCGTAAATCAGTGTAGGCCACTTCAGAGAATAAAAATCTAATTTTTCTACTCATTGGGCTATTACAAATGTATTATTTAATTCCATTTTAACTATTGTTTAAATGATAACTAAATTTAATTGGCTATTTTCTTTTATTTCACTGTCAATCCGTAGTAGATTTGAATTGATAACGTTGTTTTTCTGTATATGATTTTAATTACAGTAAAGGTTACTTTCCGTGTCAATTAAATGTACATATTGCGTATCCGTTGATTGTTCAAAATTATAGAACGATATTTTGTTACTTTCTCTGATTTGTCTAAAATTCATTATCAACTACAAAGAATCAAACTTATACTTATACTCATTTCTTTTAATTCTCTTAAATCGATCAAGGTGACTGGATTATGTATTACGCATACCTAACCATCGCCTATCACGACACATAATAAAGATTAGTATAAGGCTAGGTTGAAAAAAACCCAGTGGAGAACAGACATCACATCAATCCATGGAACTATTAACTTTTTCTTGTAATGTTTGAGAGTCCATAAAATAATATGGTTGTAATGACACAGACATACTAATTCGCCATCTTCATTTCTTAACATTTTGATTTAAGTTGTTATTCTACGCTTATCAATCTTGGATATTATCTTATTCTTTAATGTCATAATTCTTATGTTGAGTTTTTGTTTCCAATTGATGTGAGATGTGACTACGTGAACATATGTACCAGTTATTATAATGACTCCCAATAACTAACTTAATTAATGAAATCATCTAATTATATGTAGATATTTTAAATGATTAACAGTTAAACAATTATTTTTTCAAATCAATTTTTAGAATTTACAGTGAATGTGTTAATTGAATTGTATCCTTATCGATAAACATTAGGGCGAATTAATCATTATAAATAAGTTAACTGTGTGTTGTTTTAAACACTATGTAACCTGCTAGCCTAATCGTTTATGTAGAGAAGAAAATTTTAAACTATTTATACGACAGTATGTTCTAGGTCGAACAATCTATGGTAGTACAGTTAGTAATTACTTGGTCCATATCGAAATGACGATATCATAAATTTTATAATAATATTACTGTTTATCATACTGAAGATCATTTTATTCATTTTTAAAGCATGAACTGTCATTCAATATTGTTAATCTTTTTTAATATCCCTATTTATAGATTGATTACGTAGTCAATCAACTTAATTCGGATTCTATGTTACTTTATCAAGTGAGTTGAATTATTGACGAGTTTATGTGTTTTCAAGTTAATTATCCTAGCTACATTTTTACCTTGGCATTTTGGCATAATGAACCATCGATCAGTTTATTTTATGTATGAATAGAATTATCTGCTTTTAGGAATGCAAGTTTCATAAGAAACGAATAAACTTATATCTAATTCAACAGTCTTCTATATTCGTCTAATTAAATGATCCTCTTAGTTGGCTGTATTTGCTGATTTTAGTGTAACGCGTAAACCAGTTCATTGGATTTATACAATAACCAGAAATCTTTTTATATACTTGGAACTAAACAGCAAAAAATTAACTTATTTTCTATTACCTTGCCTAATAAATCACAAGTTATTTGACTTTTGTTACTATGTGTTGGCTACTTCCAAGAATATTCTTCATAATACTTTTCCAAGTCATGTTTCCCCAGTGACCTTTGCTGTCGTCTCAGGGTTATTGCATGTTACCATATAAAAATGTCCCATTTCAATACTAACAACTTGACTTCGGTTCGTAACATAAAGCTATCCTGAAAGTCTCGTCTTCTCTCTACATTTGGCGTTTGGTTTATTAACGCTGAAGTGTTGTTGTATGTCAGACCTTCGGTCGATCCAGTTCTCACGAGTCTCATCTGTATTAAAAGATTCTCAGTTGTTCGAAATTAAATTTCCATAGTCCACAATCGTAGTCGTATTTCTAAAATGAACATAGCTGTACCTTTTGTATTCTTCCTTTGCATACTGTCTTTAATTGTTCTGGAATCACTAGACTACTTCATTCTTCGTGATCAAGTCGTAGAATAATGTTTTCAAACCTCTCAACACCATGTCCCACCTCAATCGGAAAGCGTTTATACACAGTATTACAAGATCTTTATGGGAAAAATGAAAAACATTCTGGAGCCCAATAGTGTTATCTCTGATGATGAAAATATCATGCACACGTTTCTTAAAAGTATCCAGTGCAGGAAAACGTGTTTTTAAACCCAAGTAATGTTTATTTCAGTAAAAGTAACTAACGCATATTTTCAAGCTAGCTAATTTACATTGAACTATGCGATACTGAAGTAGATGACGATTCCTCTTCTATTCATCACTTTAACTGCCTTATTAAGGGGCTTTATCTACGATCTAAAATTTCGTTTAAACACGTTTGTATTGTGTGACAAATATTTAAATAGGATAGTGACGATATTTACCTGTCAATAGTATCGACTATAGACTGATTTCTTAAATTACCAAAGTCCTACCTTGGTGTTCCTTATCCAATTTTAATTAAATGTAACACAACTTAGTAATCACGTACGCATTTGTAGAATCCCCTCCAAGGCACAGTTTCGTGTGAAGATCAGTGATACTACTGACTACCCAAGCCAAATGTATTAAGCCTTGATTATGCAACCCAGTGATCAAACTTTGAGTGATATGATCATCGTTACATATAATTGCCAGTCTTCTGCAGTACAATATTTATACTTTTAGTTCGTTTTTTCGCTTGTAATATATATATATATATATATATATATATATATATATATATATAGCTTTCTTTATGTTTTTCTTCAGTTTTTAGACAGCGTTTACTATCGATATCCACAAATTATTGGCCCATATTTGACTCTTCTAATGTCCTTATACATCAAATTTTGTCGAAGTAAACTGCTACCTTTGTTGAAGTCTACAGATCGATATCCTCTAAGTGAAGCCCTAAGCTTATGTGAACGTGCAAAACTTGTACCAGAAACTGTTTATCTGCTGACTAGAGTTGGGAGACGTCACGATGCATTACAATTAATTATGACGAGGGTAGGTAATCCCTTTTGACAAATTAGATCCCATAACTTATTCTTTATAATTAATAAGAGCGTATTCTTTATTTTAGTAAACTTTGGGGGCAAATAAATCCACTGGTTTAATTGAATGAATAGAATTTTATTCTTTGGGCCGATAAACCATTTTGAAGCAGGTTTGAACATTTTATGTCATATAGGTAATCAGTTACTTTCGAACTTATACTTAATAAAACCCACATATATACGAGAATGCAGAGCGGTCATCAAGCTCCTCTAATAACTATACCTCGAAAATTACTCTTAATAAAATTTATGATTGATATCATTTGGTTGTAGTAACCCATTATATAGATAGACTTTTTAAAATACTGTCGTTGAGATTAACTTTTGTTCATCAAAAAAATGCTGCAAACGATTTAGAAAGTGTATTTACCAATAGTTCAGGTTCTCATGTAAATGTAGTACCAATTGAAAAATAACATTTGCGAAGTATGGTTGCGTAATACAAATCTTATTAAATATTATTTTTAAATTTTAAGACAACTTATGTTTACAATTTTTTGATCGTAATAATGTATTATCCCCTGTGAAATTTGAGTTTTTCTACTGAGTAGTAGATATCTCCATATGTTTAGAATAGAAATCAGTAACACTACTAGGTTATTACTTCATTAATGTTTATATTGTATTGTGTAGATTTGTGCAGGAGCTTAGACTGATTGACGAGTTGTTATACCGTTTAATCACCACAATATGACTGCATCTAGTCACAGAGTATTTTATGTTATTATATAATCGATTCGGTGTATTCTTTCTAATGACACTAAGCTTTATATTGTGTGACGACAGTTTAGTTGTCACTATTTAGGACGTGTACTGTTGATCATAACCTATGTACAATGTTGTCTAAGATCACTTATTTTTAAAAATACTCTTGAATTTGTTAACTGTCCATTGCACTTTTGTACATAAAGATGAAGTTGAAAGAAAGCTGTAGTCGCCTGTTCTTAACGAACAACTGAGCTATCACTTCTGTGACATCCCATCTTTTCTTTTAACTTCAAACACCATTGTTATATCCGAGCGAAGATTAAATTACAGGTAACTCCCGAGGACTATTAGTGGACTAATATTCTATAAATATTCTTATTGTAAAACTATTCAATCATTAGATTACGTATATTTATATCCCTCTGATTATAAGCTTTATTTTGACCTATAATTTATTATTGTACGATTTACGGTTCTTAAACTATGTTCAGTCTATTAATTACTGTCCCCCTCGTTCACAGCCACTTTTTGGCTTATTTGTGTACATATGTTATTTCCTAATTTATGGTGTGTTGTGGTCTGTCTGTTTGATATATAAACCGAGTATGTTTGAAATAAACGATCTGCTCTGATTCGAAGCTGGTATTGTGTTCTGGACTCAAGTGGAAGGGCTCGTAGGACATAGGACCAATACGGACGCTAGACTGCCCACACCGGTTGAACGTCATTGGTTGGCCTAGTGTGAAATTCGTATAAGTCGTATCCGGATTGGTCGATAGGTCGCGTGATAGCAAAACCAGACATACCCAAGATCATAACAACCATCCCTATGAACACAACTAAAATTTCCATAGTCAACTCATATAGTCTCTTTAATGAAATACGCGACTTCCACTAGTCGATATTTGTTTTACCAATGCGTTGTTTACATTTCATTATACAGGGAGGCGAAGACTCGTCACTTGGAGAGTCTACAACTCCGGAACAACGCCAAGCTATAGCTGCTGCAAAGTCGATCGAATACTGCCGAGAAGAAGATGGTATCCACGCGAAAAATCGTCGCCCTTTCCATAGACACCGTAGTATGAATAATTCAAATTGTAGCAAGGATTGCGATGAAGACGAAGGTGATGAAAATGCCGGTGAACTATGGCAACAGGTTATTTTATTTGCGGCGGATAAACCTGCTTTCATATGTGCATTACTACAAAATGCAGGCTGTGAAGGTCTTGATTCACGTCTGCTACTACGTAAAATATCACCAGACATGACTATACCTGGACTCCGTGATGCAATAGTCAAGCTTATGCATGATTACAAGGTAGGTAGTACTTGTCATCATCTAGAACTAGTTGAGGAATTGCACGAAATTACATATCTTAATTAGCTAAATGTAAAGTATCTGAATCATGCTGCATTATACGTGTATGTGGTATAAATGTTAATTTACATCGGTAGTGAGTCGTAAAATCAGACAAAACATTTATCTTGTTTTAGTTCTACTATATAAAAATGTTAACTGGAAAATCGTAGACTTTTAATCTATATTATGGTTACTGAGCGATAGACTATTTCTTCTCTTTAATGGGGTTTAGTAATAAAGGTATTGAGGAGGTCCAGAATATTTCTCGGAAAAAGCCCCGAGGACCCTGGAAATACTGTGAAACATTTTATCCAATCAACATTGAATAAAGGTTTCTCAAAAACATCTAGTAAGTAAAGAGTCACATTTCTGGTTGAACGATTACCTATCCTGCTATGTCTGATAGGGTTACAGAACCTTCCAAAGCCCAATACTATCTGAAATTCTATAAATACCCTCAATTTTCTAAACACAAACTTCGGGTATTTTTTTCTCGCGTTCAAGTTGTTGTGTTATTTGAAGAGCTTAGGAAACTGATTCAAGCGTTCAGTTAGAATATTTATCAAAAGGAGTAGTGTTCCCTTAGGGGTAACAACATATGAAATTTAATGTTAACTTGTCTTTAATGAACTGTTGACTGACAACGCTTTGTATTTGGCATAGGCTTCTTCAAAATGTGCTGTGTTCTTGTCTTTTGTTTTCGCTTTGGGTGAAAACAATGTTTATTACTGTTTAAACAAGTTTTTTTTATTTAAAATTATCTTAACAGCAAATATCGTCGAAAGTAAGATTTTCCTCGCTGAATTGTACTTATATCTTCAATGATACAATGGGTTATATAAGAAAACTGCCTACTATAAAACCAAATAAATTGGTATATACAAGGTGTTTTTTGCAGTCGTTTTATAGATATTAGATACAATGTAGTGAGTTGACGAAACAATTCCAAAGCCTAGAGGAAATTGTTTGAACCAGGAAAAGACTAACTTTCCAATTGTTGCAAGTTGGATCTTAGCGTCATTGGGTAACAATCTCCGTGTAATTAAGCTTCGGACAAACTAAATATTAACAGAATTTTCAGTGGTGCCCCCTTGTACTAATATTTATGTACTCAAATAAATAAATATTAGTATCTTTGATGTGAGTGTCAGTTTTGCGTATCTACTTATAATATTGATCAGAATTTACGGTAAAATAACTTGTCTTGTCCTGTTTCTAGATTCAACTTGAACTGCAGCAAAGCTGTTCACGCATTTTGTCATCAGACATGCATCAGTTATTCTTACGTGTTATCAAAATGCAAATGAAAGGAATTCGTGTGAATTCAAGTGCTTGGTCCTCTACTGGATGTACAGTGTGTCTGCAACCTATATTGAACAATAACGGGCAATCATGGCGAAGTACAAATCAATTAAAATGTGATGTGAATAGTCAAAGCAACGAAGAAAATCATCGATCATGGGCAATTTTCAATTGTAGTCATATTTGCCATGGAGACTGCTTGTCTAATGGAGAAACAAAATGCCCTTCGTGCTCAAAATCACGTATAATATAATCCGTACTGATAATTGACAAAAGCTCTGAACTTTGTGATTTATTTTACCATTTTAATTTACAAAAAGGAAAATATTCCGCAGACTATTTTTTTTATTTAAAGTTTAATCATTATTTTTTTTCTTTTCAATACAAAAAAAAGCAAATTATTTTTATTTTTGAAGTCAATTTATTGTTTTATGTAAAATTTATAAAATATGAACAAAATTAAAGTAAATTAATTAGCAATCAGAGTTGTGACTTAACTACGAGAATGCGAAATTCAACACTAATCTCAATGTTAGTTATCCGCTCATAAACTAAACATGGCAAACGAATTGTTTTATGTAGCGAAAGATACATTACCAATGAGTTACAGTCGGTTCATTCAACTTTGATTCAACAATAGAAATGCAAATGATTAATTAACATCTAGCGTATCACAGCATTTTTATGATTTTTAAAAGTCTACCGCAAGCAAAATTTAACATGTAATGGACATGTTAAGTATAAAATATCTTCCTACATAGAATTTTGCATAACTGATACACTAGAAACAATCACAGATGATTCGTTTGGAAGGTCACCAACAGTTGACGATTCTGTGTGCTTATGAACCTGCTTAGGTTCATAACGATGCATACTTCTGGCTGCACGTGTATGGGGAGAAAATGAATCACAACTATCACTGTCCTCCTCGTCATCACCAAGTTTATTTATCTCACATTCGCTGGCAGTAGAAGCAGGATTATTGAATAATTTAGAACAATCTGCATTATCATCTTCATTCTCACCAGTCGAGAGGTCGGAACATACATTGTTTGATTGCAGACCCTACAATATGAAATAAAACAATCACATAATATGAATCTTCATTCGAGAACGTACTTATGACAAGCTTAGTTTTAATTAGTAACTGTCTTTAGTTATCGTGAATACGATACGCTTACCTTTGCAGGCGCTTCGAGATCTGTTTGTTCATGCATTTTGTTATCAGCATAAGCTTCTCCTTTCTCTTTGACCCCATTTCCATTAGTTTCAAGTCCTTTGTCTGTAATCTGTTGCACATAATTCTTAAGTCGGCGATCGGATTTTCTGTACAATATAATTTCCTAAACGAAAAGAATTTAAATTATGTTAGTACTAGTTTATTTGAGTACATACACTAAGAGTAATGAAACAGTCTGATCGGTCTATTTGAAGTACAGTAAATGTCAGAAAATCATCAGATGTGGATACAATGATCAGTTAGATGAGAGCACGTATTATAGCTAGTGCTGGACAACTTGATATCATATTTTCCCCTAAACACCTTCAGTACGCCCGAAGGTAAAAAGAATCTACTCCGCCTCTTGAAACGTTCTCATTTGGTCACGAGTTATTTTGACTCTTTGTCATGAGAGTGTTTCACATTGCCTTGACATGGAGAGCGAAAGGTCGGAAAGTGGGCATCCATGGCTTAAACTAGTTCAGTAGGTCCATCTTGACAACTTGAGAAACCCTGATTTCGAACCCATGGTGCATACAGGCTATAGCGTCCTGAGGGATCAAAGGGCATATGAAATTTATTTTATCTCACTTTAGAGTTCTACTCTATTTAATTCTCATGACTCTTATGATCCTTACACTGAGTTGAATCAGTAGCTTACTTTTGGGACTCATGTTCTGCACGAAAGGTCTCAAATCGCAGAGTGGTCGATTTTCTGAGTGTTACCACAGCAACGAAGTCTGATCCAACCCTTCTGATGCCACGCATGCCATTTAAACTTGTTGCCTATTACGTTTACACTTTGATGTAGACCAGTAAACAGATGAATTTAGGGATGTATTCAAAAAGTTTTGGTACTAATTTATATTGTTTATCTGGGATCCGCAATTTAGGGACCACTAAGTTTTCTGAACATGTGTCTGGCTTCAGCACAATCTTAAGACTTATGCAGAAGTTCCGCAAGCTGTCGATGGGGGCTTGAGTACAGGTCTTAAATGTCCGGCATCTGCTTTTGAATGAATATAACGAAAAACTTAGTGAATATCAGGTTAGACACTTGCGAAGTGAAGATGTAGATGTTTTTCAATTGAGGATGAGAGGACCTAGTTTGTATGGGGATACAGATATACTGGAAAATTTTCGAGGCCTTACATTGACTGATGCCGATTTAGCTGGTCACCTGTGTTTAACGGAATACGGAAAACTTGTCGACCATCTTCTGAAATGTTCTGCGAAAGGGTATGGAGCAACATTCGGTCCTACCATACGACGCGGGTCTCTTGAAGAACGGTACGAATGGAAGCGGGGTATTAAGATCGAAGGTTTAAGTTGTACTGTTGACTGTAGAGAGGTGTGACAGCAGTAAGACGTTTTCCTCAGATCCATCTGCAGCAGTGCTTCATTCTCACAAAGGAAGGAGTTAGAATGAATGGACTATGAAATCTCTCACATCACATTAATCCCACAGATTTTCGTCTCCAAGGGTAAAGCGTTTAGAATTACGTAGCTAAAAAACTGAAGATTTTCCATGAAAAGTCCGCATTAGACTGGTTCCAGGAAATTGTTCTTTGGGTCTTGCGGTGACGTTTTCAGGTTAATGAAACCACTACTCATTCATTTTACCTCATCCGGTAAATATGAAGAACTGGAGGTTTACACTCCGTGTATCTGGAAACCCCACTTCTACTTCCAGTGGCCTTGTTAATGTGGGTATAACATTAAGTTTTAAAGCACAATCGGCGCTCCTAAACTAGATTACAATAAATAATTTCTAATGCGCTTCGCAACTAAACTCGGAAAAACAGGGACACAGGCTATTATTGCTTCGTCGTTTCTTACTATGCGTCCAGAGATTAAAGCTCAGATGAATTAAAAGACGAACGTTATATAAAGCTTTCTAAACTTCTTCAAAAAGCTTAACGCTCAGATGTAATTATACTGGCAGGTGATCTTGATGCCCTAGCAGGTAGTATACGCCAAACTGAAAGGCATTTAGGTGGGTGGTCTTACCTTGTTACGACTCAGCAAACAGAAAATGACGGACCGCTGCAATTATGATCAAACAACTATTTAATTCTAGTAAACACTCACTTTAAGCACGAGAAAAATACCGTTTGACAAAGAGACCCTCACAACTGACTCAACTATGGATTCAAAAAGACCACATTTCTATCATCCATCTAGGTAGAACTTGATAGAAGACTGTAACATATGATGGAACACATGTTTAGACTCGGATCATGCCCTAGTTCGAGAACGTATTTGTCTGCGTCGTAGTGGATGCAAGGAAGCCATAGTAAGAAGACGTATTAGAGTATACCTTAACAATGAAGCAGCCAAATATATTTCAAGAACAACTAGAGAAGGAGCTATTCAACCGTAAAAGTGATACCAAACCCGAGATAGCACGGTGTGATATCCAAAAAATGTGGAAATAGCAGTGATATCTACAAGTAACTTGGACCAAAAGGTTAGGAAAAATCGGTGGATTTCAACGGCGTCTACTGAACTGATAAATGCTAAGAAATTAATCTTGTCTGACTCAAAACACAATGAGGAATCATTCAGTCAGCAACAACGTAGAACTTCGTATGCACGTACATCAGTTCAAGCTGCCATATCACATTAACACGGAGATGCAATCGTCGATTCCAATCCCATAGTGATAGAGGTAGTAAGAGTATAAGCAGTAATCGGAAAGATTACGGTTTGAAGATGATATTCAAGGAGTATAATCCAGTGAAATAAATTTGGAAGGAAAAAAAGGGACATGAAGAATTCAGAAGATAAGAATTTGGGAGAACACAGAGAGTGGATGCACCTGCGTCATTGCAAACGATTTTGAGCCATACTATTCAAGGTCTCTAACCATCGGTGGCTATCATCTCGCAGATCCCAACCAGGTAGTCTACACCTACCAATATGGCTCAATACACTTGTCAGTTACTCCATATATTCGTGCCATGTTTTGATCTGGCCGCCTCTATCTTTCTTCCAACCTACTCCTACACCATAAAATACCGATCATCGGGGCAGTCGGTGATCGAACATACGTAATACATGTCCCATCCATCTCAACTGATGAAGATTCTACTCTTACTGGCCATGTTCCGCAGCCATAAAGTAGGACGGAACGAACAGTTGCACAGTAAACTCGTCCTATGGTTGATAGACGGGTATCTCGTCTACGCCATAAATGACACAAGTTATCAAAAGCTAATCGAACCTTGTGTATCCGTGCTGAGATTTCGTCAAACACAAGACCACAAAGGCTGATGAGACTACCAAGATAAGTGAAGAGGTCGACACGCTCAACTGCTGTGGCAGTGTCTGTCATTGAAAGGCGTACCCCAGAGGTACATAAACCTTGTAAAGGCTCTTTACTCGAACGCTACTAGTCGAACTGTCATCTACTTTTGCAACCTCAAGTGGTGTCCGTCAAGGCTGTCCACTTTCTCCATTTCTGTTTAACTTCATCATAGACCTACTGATGGAAATAACATTCTCGTCGACTGAATTCTCGGGTATTGATCTCCTTCCAGGAGGTCCACTTATCGACTTAGAATACGCAGATGATATAGTCCTCTTCGGTGAAGACGCTGATAAAACGCAGTCTTTTAGTAGCACCAAGCAACAATGCCAGAATGTTTGGAATGCGCTTCTCTCCATCTAAATGCAAGTTGTTGATTCAAGACTGGCCTGCGTCAACACCTGAACTAAGGATAGGGAGTGAAGTGGTCGAACGCGTTGACAAATTCACTTATCTTGGAAGTCAGATCAGCCCTAATGGGCTGGTATCGGACGAAATCTCAGCACGGATTCGAAAAGCTCGTTTGGCTTTTGCCAACTTAAGTCACCTGTGGCGAAGGCTAGATATCCGTCTATCAATAAAAGGACGAGTATACTGCGCGGCAGTCCGTTCTGTCTTACTTTACGGCAGCGAAACATGACCTTTAAGAGTAGAAGACACCCGTAAGCTACTAGTATTTGACCACAGATGCCTTAGAAATATTGCTGGCATCTGCTAGGATCACCGGGTATGTAATAGTGAGGTTAGACGCAGGGTATTAGGAAAGGATGTTAAATCAGTTGATGAGGTTGTTAATCTTCATCGACTGAGATGGTTGGGCCACGTGTTACGTACGCCTGAACACCGATTACAACGTTGTGCAATGCTAATGGGTGTAAGAGATGGTTGGAAGAGAATTAGGGGCGGCCAAACCAAAACGTGGCATCAATGCTTAAAGACACTAACCTCTAG